GGGCCTAAAATAAGGTGACTCTCTTTCCCAAATGTTGTTTCTGCTGGTAGTGGATGTGTTGCGCAAAATGATTTCTAACAGTGTAGCTTCTGGAGATCTCTTAGGCCTTAATCTTAAAGGCGAGTTGAACTCTATCAGATCCTTGTAGTTTGCAAATGATACCATTCTGTTCTGCAAAGCCTCCTCTTTGGATATGACTACCGTGAAAGCAATTCTCTTCATTTTTGCTAATATATCTGGTCTTAATATCAACTATGATAAATCAAATCTCTTCTACCTGGGCAAAATACCTCTAAAAGGTACTCGCCTAGCCTCCATTATGAATTGTGTGGCTGGCACTCTCCCCTTCTCCTACCTTGGCCTTCCTTTAAAGAAAGGTTCTCTTAGCAGGAGAGAGTAGCAACCCCTTCTGGACTCTTTCTCCAAAAAAATTGGCGCTATGGAAGCACAAATCTCTCTCAATCGGTGGTCGCCTAACGTTGATCAATTCTATCCTTTCCTCCATCCCCCTATATTATATGTCTTTCTTCAAGCTCCCCCAATGGCTTACCAGAGCCATTGAATAAATTATGAGAAGATTTCTTTGGTGTGGCAATAACTATTTCTCTACATTTAAATGCCTTGCCAATTGGGGGACTATATGCAAACCAAAAAAGGAGGGTAGCCTCGATGTCATTGACCTCCCAACATTCAACAAGGCTCTTCTCTCCAAATGGATCGGGAAAATCCTAGATAGAAATTCTCTCATCAGCAAAGTGATCTTCTTGAAAGTACCCTAGAGTGGGGTGAATAGGGTTATTGCTAATCTTATTAGATATTAATGCTGATTAAAATTAATTAACAAATATCTCCTAACAATGATTATATTCAATAAGATATATGCAAGGATATATATATGCAAAGGGGAAAATAAACAAGAACCAATATAAACAAATAGTGGACACAATGAACAATCCAAACACAATAATATGATCACGGAGTTCGGACCTTCCGTCCTACGTCTCCGCTCCCCACTCCCAGGGAGAACTCCATTATCGACACACCCAGTTTGGAAGCCGGAACTTCTCTACACACTCGGTTTTCTAGCTTACCGAAAAACTCTACAAATCTCTCACAATGTACATACACAAACTACAACCTCAAGTGTTGGTCCTCACGTATTACCTCCCTCAAGTGCTCGACTTTACTACCTCTCTCTAGGCTTTACTATTGATGCCACTCCTCTTGGTATTGAGTACGTCCTCACCACACACTCCTCTTGGTGTAAATGTGTATTACAAGGTGATTCTCACAAATGAAGCTCAAGTACAATGATTTATTCTCTAACAATGAATGAGAATACTATGAAGCTCACTCTCACTAAATCACTCACCACAACCCAACAATATATTGTATGAATAATATTAAAAGGCTCACTCTCACTAAATCACTCACCACAACCCAACAATATATTGTATGAATAATATTAAAAGCTCAATTTGAGGTGTGAGTGATAAATGAGAACAATAAAATTCTAACTCAAATAAAACTAGCTAAGATCTGAATATGAAAATCAAAAGATAAATAAGCTAGATAAAAGAGTTAGAAATCTTCTCTATAAGCACAATGAGCTGTAGATAGATGATGATGATGAATTCCTCAGTTGAAATCAAAAGCTTCCTCATTGTGAAAAACTCCTCTTTTGAAGCAAACTTAAAATAATGTTTAAACACAAACTAAACTCTTTTGAAACTTGATTAAACAATTTTCTTGATTACCACAAGAGTTGAATGAACTGGGGTATTTATACGCACTCAAAACATCAGCCAAAACTCGGAGAAAAAAACAAAACAGCTCAAAAATCTGGAAACTGTACAAAACTAGCCGTTGGAAGGCTTATTAGTCGACTGACGGGTTTCATAAGTCGATTGATGAGCTGACCGTTACAGGCAATCGGTAGCTTATCAGTCGACTAATGACCTTTTATCAGTCGACTGATGGATCATCAGTCGACTGGTCAGTCGACCAAAATAAAATAGAGACTTTTGATAATTACAGGTACTTTCATCAGTCGACTGATGTCATCAGTCGACTAACCAGTTGACTGATAACAGGTTATCAGCCTGAATCAATTTTGAAATTGAGTTTCAAGGCTCTGTAAAAACTAGTAAACAAATTCCAAAAAATATGAAACTTTGTAAACAGTTTATAAACATTTTGACAAACTTATTTGAAAAGAAATTTTATAAAAAGGTCCTCATATTTGTGAAAACTCGGCGTTTATCAAAAATATACATAATACATGTTTTTGATGAATCTTGAAAATGAAGTTTGACATGTAAGAACATATGGAAACTTTATGAAACGTTTTAAAACATGAATATAATGTAAACAATATTAATAAACCAATATTGCATTGTTTTCTCAAATAAACTCATTTTGTAATTTAATCAAAATTGTGTGTGTATATATATATATATATTGAGCTTGAAATATATTCACACAATACACGCTACAAAACAACTAATATACCAAAGCTTGATAGATCTTTAATATGCTCCTCTTGGTAAACTTGTAGATGAAGCTTGAACTTGGATCTTGACTTGAATGCATAGCTTCACTCCACAATCCCGTCAACCTTCATTGGATATGATCGTTGAAGTTCTAGTCCATCCAACCTCCAACATGGATATTTGTGTAGATTACCTAACAAAACAAATACAAACACTCGACGAACATTGTTAGGAATTTGTTTGTAATCATCAAAACAAGATTAGGGAGTAGGCTCATAACCATGAGTCCAACACTTCTCCCTTTACTCCAAAGACAATTCCAACCCTATTATCTTCCCCCCAAAAAATTCAGTCTCTAAACTTCTTCAGGACTTTCACTTCATTCATCCTACCTTCTTCAGCTTCGCTAGATGGATTGTGGGGGATGGGAAGACTTGCAGGTTTTGGCTAGATAAATGGTGCAACGATAACTCTCTCAGCAGTCTATTCTCTATTGCGCATCAATTATCTTTTGCTCCTTTACGCTTCATCTGCTCCTAAGGTTTCATGATTCACAACTCCTGGTCTTGGCATCCTATCCTTCGCAGGGGCATCTCCCTTGCTGACAGAGCCTGCATTCAAGAACTTTGAAACTATCTACACCCTTTTTCGATTGTTGGTTTTGCTTCTTTCGATAGCATTCGATGACCTCTCCATTCTTTGGGGTCTTTCACAGTCAAATCCTTCTACTCCGACACCATATCAGGGGGAATCTCTTCTCATCTCTTCAAATTCCTATGGAAATCTCCTATCCCTCCTAAGGTTAAGGTCTTCTTTTGGTCTCTTAGTAATAACAAACTGAATACTAGAGCCAACTTAACATCGAAAGGGTGGACCGGAGACCCTCGTTGCTCCTTCTGTAGCCTGGGGTTAGAAAACCTGGATCATCTTTTTATTTCATGTCAATTTGTTTCCTCTGTCTGGTCTGCGCTTCTCCCCCATACTCCCTCTGTCAGTTGGCCGCAAAACATGGGATCTTTGATTTCAGTTAGAAGCTCTCTTCATTTCAACCAAGATCTTAAAGTTCTATGGAAAGTTTTGCTCTCATGTTTCTGTTGGTGGATCTGGAACAGTCGCAACAATCTTATTTTCAAAGATATTAAAGTTCCCCCTCAGCATATTGCCTCTAACATTGCTAGGTACATCCTTTTCTGGACAGGTTCAGAAGATGACGTTCGTGCGAGGAGGCTCCGCAAGGCTGCGTTCAACTTGGGCATCAAGGATATAGCTCATGCTAATCCTGCAGCTACGATGGGGGACACCTCCCCTGCAGACATTTGATGTTTCTTCTTGTTCTTCTGCCTGTTGTTCCTTTGCACTCTCTGTTTTTTCTTTAATTAAACTTCCCCTATGCTTCCCTTATGTTTCGAAAGTTTTCTTTTATATGGTAATAGTATGTTGAAGTTATGATACTCTAGTTGTAGGATTTACTAGGTAGTGGCGTGGGAAGGTAACTTGATGGCATAGTTTGGTGGGCGACCCTTTCCCCACCTGCTTTTTCACCTTGTTTCCTTCCATCACGGATCTTTTGAAGTTATGTATATGCAACTCTTGGGTTTCTTTTTTCCCTATATTAATATATATATATATGAACAGGACCTCTCACCCTGTTTTTTTTTACTATAAAAATACATAACTAGACGAAGATTTGGACTCATTCAAATATAAAATGATTAAATTAAATTTACAAACACCATCATAATGAAAAGAAAGAGGAGCATGGTTATAGAGTGTCCGCTTTTAGGTGTGTTTGAAACTAAAAGTATTTCTTACTTGGATTTTTAATGTACATACTGCCCAAGTTGCTTCTCATTCACCTTTGGTTAGATTCGAAGTACTAAAATTGCAGTGCTTGGAAAATTATACAAGGAAAGAAATCTCTTAGATGTTACCCCATGATCTGAGGAGTTCCATATAGAATTATCCTAATTAATTATAAATTATAAATTGTAAACCAAATAAGATTTGACTGTAAAAAACTTCAAAGTTTATTGAAAAACAAACCTAAAGGTAAGAAATATTCTATGCTTATGGGGCTTTTCGTGATGTCAAAAATACATGTTTCTTACAAGAATCTTTTCTATGGATCTATTTACCAAGTTGCTTCTGTTCATGTCTGGTGATTCGGTGAAACTCAGAAAGTACTAAAGTATGTAGTGGTTGGTAAATAATAACACCAAAAAAAAAAGGAAAGAAATCCAATTAGACGGTACTCCGTGATCTAGAGGTGTTCAAGATAAGATTATCGAAACCCAACATGACATAAACCTATACAAAAGAACAGTTGGTAGGCTCTAACTGGCCTACAATTACAAACACAATATAATAACCAGCAAAAAGAAGAAGGTACCAACCAACGCTCAACCAACACAACCCACCCCGCCTTCAAATGCTACTATTCCCCCCCTTCCCTCTCACCAAACTTGAGGTAACTTCTACCTCTCAAAAACAAAAAGGAAACAAGAAACATCAAGAAAGTATCATTCAAACTTGCCATTAAAGCATTCTCTATGTCCAATATATAACAAACCCCTCATCCCCAAACCAACTCTTCCTTATCCTCTACCTTCAATCAAACTCTAAATAAACATCTTCATTTTCCTCCTCCTATCATACATGAATGTAACAATGGAGAGATTCTCTATCCTTCCATTTTCTATGGGCTGCGTCTCCCACTCCAGCGTCGATGTAGTAGACAATCAACCGAAGAAATCATATAGGGGATCAAATCCATCACCTCCAAGTAATTCTCCTGCTCTTTCCATCAATCATCATCCTGTCAAAAACACGAATTGGATACATTGCAGATAAGCCATATCATCCAGCACTTATCATCTCTGGATTCACATTTTATTTTAATCTAAGGAGGCTTGCCTTGCTCTTTTGACTTGGCGAAAATTGAGGGGTGCTAAATGCTAGTAATTAAGAGCCGATAATTGTTACTGAAGGCACAGATGATGGGGCTATTTGTAATATTCCAAGATATCAAGACATCAAGTGATATTCATGACTATCATGCAAATAGAAGACTAAACCCTTTTCTTAATACTTCTTTTTTGTAGGTAAGGAGGTAGAGGAGAAGTTAAAGAGCTCAATTGGGCTTGCTAATATCCCAAAGCCCAATATCAGTGAAAGGCTGCAGAAGCTAGTGAAGGGATTCAAGACCCTACCTCAAAAGTTCCAAGCATACAGAGAAGGCGATGAGGTTGAAATGGAAATGGAGATTGGATTCCCTACTGATGTTCAGCATGTTGGCCACATAGGATGGGATGGCTTGAACGATGCATCGCCCATGCAGAGTTGGGACAAAGCGCCAGAGTTCATGTCAGTGCCATTCCCCTCTCTCTCCTTGAGGCAGTTCGAGGCCAATATCTGAATCATGAAGTTCACTGGTTTGTCTCTGTTCTTGTTTTTTGATGCTGATGGTGATGTAGAATTGTATAGGTACTGGTCTCATGTAAAAACTATTCATCTTTGGTGTTTGAGCTACAAATTACTATAGCTTCATGATGCTTGAAGAACATAGGATTTTAATAGCTTATATGATTCGTATATGACTCCTCATTGAACAAGCTTGTGAAGTTTTGGGTTAAAAATTACTATAGATTCATGATGTTTGAGGGACATAGGATTTTGATACTTTATATAATGGGCTAATTGCAGACAGACGCCAAAATGTGGATAGACCCTCTGTACTTCTATTGCTGCACTTCTATTGTTTCAGACCCCTGGATTCTCAACTTCATTAGTTTTCCAATTTAAAATAGTTGCAAATTTTATAGCAAGTAAAGCAGTTTATGGAGCTTGTATGTTTCAATTTATGAAGCGTAACCTTACGTAAAACTAACAAAGTTGAGAATCCAGGGATCTGCAGCAGTAGAAGTACCGGGTCTATCTACAACTTGGTGATAGTACAAGAGGAGTATCCGCAATTAACCCATAGAATTCCTATATTGTGACTAATCGCTCAACAAGCTTTTAGAATTGATGCATCGATTGTACCTATGGTAGATTTGAAGGTTACAAGGCAAGAGGTGAAGAATTTAACTCATCATGGACCATAAATGCCAGGAGAAAAAAGCATCTTGATGTAGGTCCATGAAAGTTGAAGCGAGAAGAATCCAATTATTAGTTTACTAGCAAGTACCAAGTTGTCCATGATAACATCATGTTTCAGTCTTCTTGCAAAGAAAGAAAAAACTTATCATATTGATAGCCCCCGCTTGTCTCCTCCTTTATCTAATAATATTTGTAACAAAGTTTGGTTTCCAGATCTTTTATTGATAGATGCAAGGCAATTCCATGTACAAAAAAACTGAGAATTTATTGTGAACTATTTATATATATGATGCTTTAGTTTAACATGAAGACAGAAACTTTCTGTTAATAAGAGTGCCTGGTGCAAGAGATCGAGGCAGATATGTGCGTATATAATTGATACAAAAGTGTATCACAAATTAGATATAGGTAACGAGGGAGTTTATTTTTTGTATATTAATAACTATTAACAGGATCCGAAGCAAGGTTCTATAATTACTCAAAAGATAATAATGAAAAAGATCAAGACCCTGACAAAACTTAATGAAATACACAGGTAAAGAACATCATACATCAGATTGTGAATATGCCAAACCTTCACACCTCATGGTAGACTCTGAGGGCAAGCACATGATAAGAACCAACAAATTTCTCTTCTGCTTCTTTAAGGTCCTTGGTGTCCTTATTCGTTATAGACGTCTTAAAATTGTATTTGTGCCCCAAGTTTTTTAAGCAGATGGTAACTTAACTGATGAAGACAATCTGCAAACTGCTCAAAATCCTTCTCCAGTAGACCTTTGGAGGTCTGAGATTTTGCATGCCTGCAATATTAATATGAGATAATTAGCTACACATCCTTATTTTGAGCCATCACATATTAATAATTAACAATGTCGTTTCACTTTTTATTTCAGGCCATGCATTTACTGTTTAGTCCATAAATGTTGAGGATGAATTGTTATG